ATTCATTTAATTAATTATATTATAGATTGCTACTGACAATTTTTACCAAAAAAGAAATGAAAAGAAAAGAAAAGAAAATATAACAGAGATGGGTTTGCATTTTGGAGGACATATAGCCCTTAGCAAATGGCACCATTTTGAATTTAATGTCAGTTCTTCTTTGAACACAGGTGTAGTTCCGAGGTAGCAATCTAGCAATCTAAATCATTCGCATTCCCCCACCCAGCAGGCCCTAGGGCAACTGCACTGCCTGCACTGTCTATATTTACACCCCTGCACACATTAATTAACGTTGCCTTGTTCACATGATTGCACAAGGAAGCATGGGTAACAGTTAATTGATCATTAATGTTGTGTACTGTAAATTAAATAGGTTTTACGAATAGTCCAGTTTATCTTGTCTAATAATATGTTGGAGCCATGTTAATGTGCATTTAATTTTTTTAACTTTTAAATTAAAAATATAATGATCAAGCATTTGGTGGCCCCCCTGCTGTAATTTACATACTGAGGACCCCCTAAAGGTCGCAGACCCTCTGTTGAGGACCCAGTCTCCCAGATAAACATCTACAGACAAAGCAAAACAGTTCAGTTGTTAAATCTCAGCTACTAAGCTGTTGAAATGTTACTAAAACTTTATAAACTATCTGTAGGAGGGCTATCCAAATAAACCCTTTGTCCTTCCAAATTTATACAGAGCTTGCTTTTTTTTTAGTCGTTTGATTTATAAAACATCTTGCCCAGAGGGTCAGAGACATGTACAGGATACTTTCCTCCAATGTCTCCACTGTAAGCTTTTATTACTACACTCATTGGTCAATTCCTGTTATGTTTTTCCTGTATTTTTTCCAGGAAAGTCAAAAGAAGTTTTTATAACAAGTAAAAAATCCTTCCTGTGGGTCGAGATGATCTCATCTTTCTGTAATGCACATTGTATTGTACATATTCTTTTACACCTGCATGGTGAACTAAGCCGACCTGTCTCAAACAAAGGCGAGATATATATTGCCTGCTATTGCATCACTAAAGTGAGGCTTCAATAGGGAGGGGAATTTAAGTAATCACTAATATTGATAATGATATGTCACCGGCTCGAGGATATCCAGTAGGTAAGAGATTATTGCAACACAGCTGAACTGACGGAACAGGACATGGGAAGTAAAAACAAAAGGTAGAAGGTAGTCTTCTTCAACACTTGGGTTTAGTCAGTCCACTTCCTGAACATTTCTCTTTGATGTCTGCATGCTCACTTTCATACAAAGGACAAGAGTGAATGGAGGGAGTGTTTTGTCATTTGCCTCACATGGGCAATGTGCTCTGCTGAATCAAAAGATTCTCACATAATTAATAGGTCAAGAATAAGTTGCTGAACTGGGCAGTGACAGCCACTCCGCAAAGCAAATACCATGCACTTTTACTTAGTATTCATTAATGCTCTGACTGTGCACTGTAATTGGATCCTTATGATCCTTATTTTTGGTTTTAAAGTGTTAGTTTATACACAGACATATTTATCTTTGTGTCTTAATTATGTACTTGACAAATACATGTGAAAATGTTTTTTATTTATTTACGTTTTGAATTAGAGTTCACATCATATCACACTATAAAATGCATTGAATACACCTTTATCCTAACAAAGCTTTAGTTTGCACTGCTGCAGGGTCTTGTTACTATACTTGATTACAACTTTTCCGTACTTAAGTCATCATTTTCCACATGTACATTTGTCTTTTGAGGTGATGAAGGCAGTTTTGAAGACATATCAGTTACAGGAAGGGTTTGTTCAGGGACATAAAGGAGGTATTCTGTTGCCTATCTTGTTAGTCATCTTGACGTATGAAGGCCGGTGATGACACTCGATGTTTTTTCTTTAGAACAGCCTGTCTGTTTGTTCCGCCTACTGATCATTCTCATACATCAAGGTGGCATTCAAGGTTAGACCTTCCCTGCGAACACTCAGGATCACTTTATTTGCAGAAACATTTAAAACAGCGTACATGTTTGTGACTCCATCTTGTGTGGGCTCGGTGTTTGTGCTCTGTTCTCATGTGCAGACAGTAGATTCAGATTAACATCTTGTTTACGTTTCAGCAGCTTACTTTCTCAAGCATGAATTCACCTTTTGCCTCATTGTGTGTCGTACGTAGCTACTGTGAGCTTTCATTGATGATCTGCACCAGCGTCACTCACATGCGAACACATCTGTGTGTTTTGTTCCCAGGAATTAAACACTTTCCCAGTGGCCTTAATAGAAAATAACTGGCACATAGAGAATCACTATCATTATTGCCACTTAATGGTCATAAAAGTAATACGCCTCTTGGTTGTTCAGAACAGTAAATGCATGATAATAATGTTGTGGTTTGCAGCTGGTGTCTCCAGTCGGATGAGTGCTTGTTACACCTCAGATTACGGGGTAATTTTAAAAATGCAATGCAAAAAGTTTTGTTTTTATATGTCTGAGTTTTGAGTCACAGTGCAGTGGAGGTAAA